TTTATTTGGTATTCGAATACCTATCAATTATATTACCAAATTTTCACATGACCACATAATTTTGCAAAGAGCGATAATTATTTGTAGTAGCCAATCCTGCAATTCCCTTTACCTCGAATTTGATCTTGTAGGTCCTTTTTGAGACGGACGACCCTTCGAAGGAAGATAATGGTGGTAATTTTTATAGTGGGATAGGAAAGTATTTTTGGTAGTATACATATAAAAAACAAAATTTTGACCTTCTTAGAGCTGGAGCTAGATTTCACTTTCAATTTCAAGATTTTCATTTTTAATCTGAAATAATATAATTGTATGTCTATTCTAATATAATTGAGGGTTTCTATATGGACATATATTCTTTCATTTACTTGGCATGTTCACTAGTTTGTGTGTGCTTTACTTAGAATCTTATAAAAGCTATAATTAATATCGGTAATAGTAAAAATGTAAGTTGTTTTTTTTTTCTACGAACAGTATTAGTAAAATTCATTACGTTATAAAATACAACAATAATTCAAAAAATGCATGTGTATAAGATCGATTAAAAAACCTAATGTGTAACATTGTCTCCAAAATAGAAAACACACAAATAGAAATAAAATTCTTATTTGTTGGTTTCGATATCGATGTATTGACACATAAAAACTTTTTCTTGAATTTTATTTTATTATTTTTAGACAGACACATAAAAACTTTTTCTTGAATTTTATTTTATTATTTTTAGACACAGACACTATGAAGCTCAAGGTATTAAGAAATGCTATACAAGATTTGGATGACAGAAAAACTGTTGAAGATTACGATGCAACCACATTTCTTACATTGTCAACTGACAATGAGGATGATGAAGTTGTAAGTGAAAACCTTAAAGAGTATTTACTGTAATTGAAATTAGAAGATGTTGATTCAGACTCTACGCAATGCTAATTTTAATTTTCATATGCTTATTTTATTTCTCTGTAAGTAATTTAATGGATCTATTCTATTATTTCCCCAATACAAAAATCGGATGCGATCTGGTGCTTTAATTGTAGTATTCGAAATAACTTATGTAAATGACGTTGTATGTTAGAATATTGGTCATGAATGTACGAGATCATGAGATAACAAACATTGTTTTGAAAGTGAAAAAACTCGAGAATTTTGTTAAATTTTCATTTTATTAAATATTTATTTAAAATTATTATGGTTTTTTATAGGTTAATAGATAGTGCAGAACTGAATATTTGACAAATATCAGTGCCACCTTAAGGTGAAATAGTTCGGTAGTAAACTGATTATAAAATGCCAATACTTTGTTTTATTTTGCAATGAAATTGTCTGCAGCATTGTCTGTAGTTTATTCACGATTCAAACAATCCATAATTTTATTCAATTAAGGAAACATCAAAAGTTTTTTATTTTTTAATTTATTTTAATATTTTTATTTTATTTTATTATTTTTATCTTTATTTATTTATCTTTCAAGGTAAATTTGATAATATTATTCAATAAAAGAATAAAAAAAAAAATTGATTTTATTATATACTGTATGTATCATATTCGTTGAATAGAATCTGGATCCAAACTTGAGTGAAAAATTTTTTTTTTCATTTCTTTATTCAATAATGATTTATCTAAAATATGAAATATAAATTAATTCTAAAGATAAGTAACCAAACTTTATCAAATAAATCTTTCATCTAAGGCATGGATTATTCTAAGTCAATTAGTGCTATTACAATAGAGTCATATGAAACTTTAAATGATCAATCTTATGTTTACAGATTTTCAATGTATAGTATATTCTTTTTACAAAATGAAAACAATATTTTATTAGATTACAAGGTTGAATTGACTACACAATAACATTTAATTTTTTTATTATTCACACTTGCTGCAATAAAATTCCTCACCTCTTTGTTCTGATACAATTATTGTTCTGTTGCGATAAATTTTATATAAGAATAATTAATTTTAGAATGTGCATGTACCTTTCAATTCACAAATTTTTACATAATCATTTTTGAGAAATTATTTGAAAATTAAATTTTTTTTTTCTGAATAAAATACTTAAAGAAAATATTTTATTTAAAAGAATTTCATCATTCTTACAATAAGTAATTATTTCATGAGCATTCTCTATAATAAAATGAGCAATTTCACACTTACAATTATTAATCGGACAAAAATGAAAAAGAGATGAAAAATAGTGTCATCAACTATTTGAGTTGTAAATAAAATATTGTGGCAGTCTGCCCAGAACACGAAGTAAAGTTACAACAATCAGTCTCACTAAATTGAATTCGTATTACACCCTTTTTGCACTCTTGTGTGCAGTATGTCGTATGTAATAATATACCCTTTTTCACTCTTTCGTACAGTGTGTCATTCATAATAATATGTTTTTTTCACAGTTAGGATCAAGCTGTCACTTGCCTAAACGCTGCGGACAGCTACTAGCATAACTCTATAATCGTGCACACAGGTGTAATCTGAAGGTACATGTGTAAGTGGAATAAAAGTATCCTCTTACAGCTTACTATGCAAAATTTCAAATCTTAGCTTCAAACTTTCTGCAATAACTTTATTCACAGTCTATGAAAATTTATTACAAAATTGGTAATAGAAGTATCATGGGCTGTTAACTGTTTCTCACCAATATTACCAATATCACAAAGATAAAATTTATCATTAACAAGAGAAAAATTACAGGATATTCTAACTACTTTCAAAATTATGATTATCATTATTATTACTTTTATTATTATTAGTTTCTATAAATGTTCGTGAATCTCCAAAATTTACCAAAGAAAATTATAAAAGTCTAAAAATTGCAGTAGGAGCCCATCTCCTTTTACACCCCCCAGATTACTAGCTATTTTATATATTTTCAGATTGTTTTCTTCCATCTTTTGTTGTCACGTTTAAACATATTTTTCTCCTTTCTTCGAGGATGATGCACAAGAATAAAAGTTAATACACAAGGATGAACAATATGTCATCCTTGATGGTAGTACACTCATGTGACTTCTGTATTATTTCAAAATTCTTGTGCAAAAATCTCTCTGTGGCACTTGTGCCACTTCAATATGAAAAATATAAATAAAAAAATAAATAAATAAAATAAATAAAATTATAAGTTTATAAAAGAAGATGAATAGAATATAAGCCAATTAATTTATAATTAAAATATAAGCTGATTAAAAGATGCTGAAGAAATATCTAATTTTATTTTTGAGTCATTACTTTGTGCTCAAGGTTAATATTTCCTACTATTGAATTTTTTGGTTCATCTATTCGGGGAGCTTTTTTTGCCAAAGTAACATTAATAAGATCTCCATGAGATTCTTGAGATTTCATAAAATCTTCAAAATTTTCATTAAAGTTATCAAGACTATTAAAAGTTATTTTAAGAATGTGAGACATCTTGGGACATAGTTTAA